AACAAACCTCGGTGGACAAAGGGCACAGACCACACAGTTTTAGAGGTGGTTTGGTTTGTTTACGTCACGTCCCAACTTTTTGAGGTGAGTGATCCGGGAAGCACCAAAATGTTGAGCGATACAGGGGCACAGCCTCGCCAGCTTGGAAACAGAACAGCAAGGCAGGGCTGCAGTGTGCGTGTGTGTGTGTGTGTGCACTGATCATAGGTGCCCTTTTGTGCAGGTTGGGCCAGGCCATCTATATTCCCAACAGAACACCTATGGTGCTGGTGTGTTGTCTGCTCGGTGTCCTTTTGTGCCTTGATTGTTGCGTACTACCTGGACCCTCAAATTTCCCTGAAAAATGATTTATTGTCCCAAAAATATGCGTGAATTCCCTTGTCTATATTAGTAGTTTGAGAATACAGATGAGGGTTTACTTCTCATGACTTGCAGTGACAACTTGGCCATTTCGCCCGCCCAGGCATTGTGCGAGATCGCGGGGCTCGTTACCACGAAGTTCTTCGCAGCTTTGGCGAAAGTTTGATGAGAGAGGTCTGCTTCGGGGTTGCAGGTTTCATTGGCAGGGGAGTGTTGGGTCCGAGGGGCAAGCGTTTTCATGTTTTCGTGGTTCCCTGTCTGACCGCTTTTGCGCTCTTCCTCAATCGGCGCCCTCCCGGCCAAGCTGGAACATGGTCCGAGATCGCCCGGCGGGCTAATTGGCAAGTTTGCAAATTCCGGTCCTTTTGTGGTTGGGTGAAACAATGCCTTTAAGCAAAACATGTTTGAATTGCGCATGCATGACTAGGTCCCCCAGTAGTGACTCAGTAGCGCCCTTTTACCCTTTTTGGGGGGAGGGTTCCCCTACTAAAATAGACTACAAAGAATCTGGTACCCTTGTTCTAACCTCTCAAATCTGGAGGACATAGATGAATAATTAAGTTGGTTGAAGCGTCATATTTGTTTTGCAGCCTGACTCGCAGGTTTTCAGCGACAATTACCACCTCATCTCAGGCCGCTTGGCGCCGGGTTCAGGTCTTTGGACCCCTTCTTTCTTGACTGCTGGGTTGGATCTTTAGACTTTCACTTTTTGGTTGGAAATCAAGTGGGTTTTGCACTAAACCATCTAAACCCCCCAAAAGTTCTCAACTTTTGGCAGGGGGGTCGTTGCAGCAAGCAAGCTCAGAGTTTGCGTTGCGGATGTCCCCTCAGCGAGCCGGATCCTAAAGGGGTTCCGAAACCTGGGGCTCGGCCAAGCTGTCAGCCGATGCAATTTGTTACATCCTATACCAAGGCTGCAACAAGCCGAAGGCCGCTCTTGGGCATGGGGAACATGCGTTGGATAGTTTTTGTTGAAAAAGGGTTGCTTGGAGAGTTAGTTGCATAGCGTTCGGTTGCTATGCCAAGTTCAGCCACAGACTCTCTTGACTTTTAACCCCCGCGACCCTCACGCCATGCTGATTTTCAACATGCACATTTGCAAAAACGCAGGAGGGTTGTCCGAAACCAGGAGGCCTTCGATCCTTTGGACACCCCTTGGGGGAAATCATGACACGGGTTTAAAGTTGGGACCTCTTCTGTTGCAACCCTTTGGTGGAAACCTGGCAACGTGGCTGGCAGTTCTTCACCCCCTCCTGGCGCGTGAAACTGGCAAGGGGCTCAAATGCGTCCCCCCTCAACGCCTGCAACGACCTACAGGGAGCCTCTGAATGTGCCAGGGGCGTGTTCTACAGAGGCAATCTATTTGCCCGCAAAAGATGAGGTCCAACCTTCATCCTTGCTGACGAGACAGGCGCGCACACTTGCCACAGGTCAGTTACCTCCCGGCTCGGCAGATTTTCTCAAACAATGGTGGTGGGGGGGTATCTTTACCCCCGAGATTATGTGGGGTCATTACCCAAAAAGAATGTGTATTTGATCCCTCATCTTTAAGGGTCAGGGTCTGCAGGTCAACGGCAGATGGTCAGGCTGAGACACTCAATCATTTGGAACATGATAGCTGTTCAATCCGAATGTTTTGCGAAACAATCCAAGGGTGAGCACTTCTAGCTGTGAGAGGGTGTTTGTTTGGAGGGGGAGTAGCGCCTTTTTCATCCAGCTAAGGGTGGAGATGAGGTAGCTTGAAGATGCCAACTTGTGCTAGAGCCCCCATGGTCCCCCTGAGCTTTCAACCCTTTCCCTACTGTACGGTTCTCGTACCATGTGGGAAACGGAAACGGGGTACTTTCTCGAGATTTTGCAGGGTTTTGCGACAAGAGGCAGCTGAAGAGACTTGGGAGGTCCTCAGCTGGCGTTGGCGTATTGCCACGTCTCAAACTAGGTAAGCCCACATGGGCAATTCCACGCTGGTTTCCATTGAATTGAAGCCCCCCCAAAATGGGAGCCTTCGAAACACGTGGAATCCAATTCCCCCCATTCGGATGCGTCCAGGCAGGCCAGTGCTGCCCTACGTGCACGCGAATAGCTCTCACTGCGCCACAGCGCCAGCGTGCCTTAGACTGGAATTTGCTCGTGGCATGGTTAATTACTGGTCCGTTTGTTCCTTGTTCCTCAGCGAGAGATATGGGGTCGTAGCAAATCTGGCCCAAATTCGCATACGGTGCCCCTCCCAACTCTCGGCATACCTGGGATTCGCTTGTTGGCCAGCCGTTTTTGGCAGCATATATATTACATAAAACCTCAACCAACGTGATCTTTTGCTTTAGCCGGCGAATGGGAACTCCAGCGCCAGGTCTGCAGCCCCCAACTTGGTTCAGTGGCCTGTCAAACAGCTCCCCGGGGAGCTGTTTGGAGCCCGGTTTGGGGATTTTAGCCTTGTGGAGGGTAACTGGGACACCGTGCCAGGGGCTGAGGTTGGCCTTAGCACCTCCCAGGTGCTTGCTCTCCTTGCAGCAAGCGGAGGATCTGTTCGGCATCAAGCTTCATTACCACCACGCAGCCTGCCGGAAACCGAACGCATCAGAACGCCCGGGTCGAAAGGGCCGGATGTGCAGCCACCTTGGTAAGTGATGTGTGAGTGAGGGCCCCGGATCAGAAGGCGGCAGTCCTGCAACATCCCGGGTTCTACTCACAGCAGACTTCTGTCTCTTTGCAAGTCAGACTATAGGCTGATAACCATGCCAAATAATTAGATTTAAGGCTGACGGGTCAGGTAACTCTTGAGCGCCCATCAAATAATTATGTTTGTAACGGATAGCATTTAGAATTAGATTCTCAAATTGCGTTTGTTGGGGCAGGGCTTGCTGCTTTGCGTTTTGAAATTGCACTTGTGTCTGTCAAACCTGCTGATAAGCATTTTCACACTGCACGGTCAATCTTTTTGCTTAGCACCGGCGAGCGTGTTTGCTATTGGTCATTTCCAAGGGACACCTGCCAGCGTCAGTCTTAAACATAGAATATGAACAGGTCTCATCACGGCTGCCGGCTGCTTGAACAACCCGTTTTTGGAGCCTAGGTGCGGCCAACTGCAGACAGCTGGTCTTCAACCGGTGTTCAAAGACCTGCATCAATTTGGGGTCGGCCCGTACTGATGCAGGTTGATTGCTATCAGTTGTTTGTGCCTTTCGTGGTACTTGTCACCTCACACGGCGAATGACACGGTTGCTTGCACTTCGTTGGAAATCTATTGGGTGCAGTGCTGGCCCGCAACGAGTGCTGGCATGGTTGACGACTTCTGGGGCATTACAGCTTGAGATTCCGACCAGCATTTGTTTTGCTTGCTTTGTTTTGGGCTTGGCCCTTCTCAAATGCACCGCCCCAGCTTCCCAGTAGTCATGGTTCATTTGAGAGGGACATGGGGGACTGAATCCCAAAAATCATGCGACTCAGCAGTTTTCCCATGTCCTTTGGGCGAAACAAGTATTTGGACCCTTTCCATTGCAAGTAGGGACAATGCAACAAGGGAAGCCCTTAAATTTACCGCAGATGTCCGCAGATTTTCTGGTGGTGGGTTCACTTGACATGTTTTCTACGCCAGTGTGAAACTAGAGCTGACTGCAGTCTCTCTTCGTTGGGGCTATGTTTCAGGGGGGAGGGTCAGGAACGCTGGGGTTGCAGGGGTGCGCCCAGGACAACTTCGATACCGTTTATCACACTTCAGAAGTCCTGGAGTTTTGCGACCAGTGGGAGCTGGCAAGCAGCGACCTAGGCCGATTCGGTTCGCGAAGCGGCCACAGCGTTTACAGGGCACTGGCAAACACTTTTCCAACGAAAGAACATAAAATGTGCGCTCAGCGACAAAACTGTTGGTTTCTGGGGGGGTCACTTCTGTTTGATCAGCGAAGTGCAGCTGACTGAAAGCAGGGGGAAATTGAAAAGCTGGGCCCGAGGGACACGGATCGAATCTAAACCGCTCAGGGGAAGCCTCTTGTAGGTTTAGGAACCCAGAAGCTCCGATCCCAAGGCGTTTTTTGCTGGGCTTGTCAGTTTACCCTGGCTTTAGGGACCCCGCAAGCCCCCTCCCAGCGTTCCACAAGGCAATCGCCAGGTGGCCGTTTTGCTGCCACTCATGATGTCCAGCATGTAGCAGGGTTCAGCGCAAGTTGTCTGAACAGCCAGACCCTGATCCACTTTGAAGGGACATTGAACAAGATATTGTGTGAACACTAGTTTCTCGGAGGCAAAGAGAGTCACCCGCCTAAAACCACTCAAAAGGAACATATATAGTGACCACTGCATTGGCCCAACCGTCTCTTGGCTCCATTGACCCCCAGGTCGTCCATGCTTTGGCTCTTGCCCGAGAATCCCTATGGCCCTCTAGGGCCTCGAATTCCAGCCTCCCTTTCAACCGGCGAACCTGCCACAACGGGTGGCAGAGGCTCAAAATATCCCGGCCCCCTGACTTGAACCAAGATGTGTCCGATCTGATTTCCTGATTTTGTTTTTTGTTTTCTCTATTCCCTGCGCTTGCCCGGCACTGCCCTCCAATTGCGTACGGCGGTGTTCCGCCTTTCAATTCTAAGCTTGCAGGGCAGGGTGCAGGTAGAATTTGGAACGAGCTGGGCGCATGAGGGGGGACACGCATGAGCCAGTTATCATTCGGTTGGTCCAGTTGGTTTTGAGAGAACCACATTTTTTCCTGTTCTTTTTAACATGCTCGTTCTTCACATGGTGTTCATGGCTTGCAACCTTTGCTGGCGGTATATGGCTCCCGCGTGCGCAAGGCAGCTATGAGAACTGCGGGATCCAGTTCGGGCCTACTGCGGATGCACCTCGGCGGAACTCGCCGAGGCGAAGGATTTTGACATAGCCTCCGCCCATGAACAGCATTTGTGGGAGGGTACTGAGGGTACCTGGAAGATAGACTTCCTCTTTAAGGGACCTGTCAGGGGTAATGTTGGAGGGAGGGAGGGTAAAGCAGAAGAACTCCCCGGGCAAGGTTTCCCACGGAAGAAATGAGGTACCGGAGGCATCCCCGAATTTGCTAAGCAAGCCCTCTTGAAGAGTTTGCCCCAGCTTTTCCGGGAACTTATCAGCATGGTCCACACGGCTCGACCTGGCCAGCGGCTCGCCGCGCTTTTTTGATTGAGGACTTCTTCGCGTGGCAGATTTCGGTGGGCCGGGAGCTGGGCTATGTGCCGAAGGCGGCCGGCCTGGCCGGATCAAGCACCCCTGCCCCCCCATGCTGCCCTTTTAGTGGGGATTCCTTTCTTCGGGTGGCCCCGGATTTATGCATCAGGGCTTTCAACACCCATGGCGACCCCGGATGAATCATGGCATCTGCCCGAAGATGTAGGATCCTCGCTTAAATGAGACTCCCCACCGTTTGAATCAGCCAGGAACTCAGGGTTTTCCCTTGGCTGGGACAGGGTGCCCCTTTTCCAAAAACAAGAGGGATCCAAGCATGCCCCTTCAAACCAGTTCCTTTTTGTCCAGCCATGTCCAGCTCAAAGAGGGAGGCACGCCCCGCTTTCCAACGAATCCAACCCGAAACAGGACAAGCCCCTGTTTCTCAACATAGGCACCTGTGGCCAGAGAAACCAAAACCACCAGGCTGGTGGGTCCAAGGGCCTTGGCTCATGAGAGGTTGCTTCCGGCTCACTGAGACCCCAGCCTTTTCACCTGGGCAGGATATTTCCCTTCACAACAGCCCAGGTGCCTCGATCCACCTCGATCCACCCTTTCAATCTTCTTTAGGACGTGTTTCCCTTCCACCCCCTCCCCCCCCAAAAAAAAAGAAGAACAACCCATGAAGAGGCTTCTGGGGCGGCCTTCTCTGGCTCTTCTCCCCGGAAAAACGCCCCGCGCCGTTTTTTTTTTTTACGCGAGGACAAGGAGCGGGTGGGCTGGCGGTCCTTCACGCTGCTGCGCGAGCCGGTGCCCTTGGACCAGCGCACCTGCTCCGCGCCTCGGAAGGAGAGCCAGCCGCGCGCGGCTGGATGAGCGAGCGGAAGGGGGGGGTTCGAGCGGAAGGCCGGAGGTTTTTTGGGGGCGAAGAGGGCCCGAAAGAGGGGGAAAGGGGTTCGACGTGCGGCGGCGTGGGTAGTTTTTTGTGGGGATGGGTGGGCTTCAGGGGTGTGGGGGGATCTGGAGCGGGGGGTGGTGGTGGTTTTTGTTTGCTCCCCTAAACGGCTGAGAGCTCTTGGGTTGCCAAGATGGGACTCCTTACCTTCTGAGTCCCGCTTGTTCCTTCCCGTATCGCAACTTGGCCCATTCCCGATGTCTTTCTGTCGCAGATGCCCTTTGGATAGCAAGCTAAAATCATCCAAAGCTTTATAGCAATGCCTGAGCAGAACTTGCTAAGGTCTACACCCAGACAGAGTATGACAGGATTGCTGCAAACCTGTCTACCTGCAGCCAGATTATAGAGGAGGCGCGAGCACAGCCGCTTTTTCTTGGTTGTGCACCCCGAAGATGTTGTCGTTGTGTTGTTCATAGTCGCTTTGGTTTGGGCTGCCCGTGACACTGTTTGCATGACCCGATGTTGCCGGCCCTTGAAAGCACAACATGCGACGAAACCTATTCTTGACGACACTGGCATTTTTTTTCTGGGATGGGATCAGTTGAGTGGTGGTTTTGTTTAATATCCCGATCAAGCAAAGATGTCTAGAGGTGGACATGTGAAACAAAGAAGTAGCACCACACTGCGCGCGCGGAAGGTTCGCGGAAGATCGTTGTAGCGCGGAAGCTCGCAGAAGGGATGTTCTTTGGTTGTTGCTTCTTGAATTATTTGCTGCAGTTTTCTTTGCACTGGGTGTGACCAGGCAAGGCGCAACAAGCTGCACAATGCAAGAGCACCATTTGTTTGTTTCTCAGAGGGGCTTCTACCCTGCCAGGTGGTGAGCAACTACATTTGTTTACTTGGGATTCTCCGGAGGACCATGCTTGTCTGAAAGCTCCTTCAGATGACATCATTCCCTTCCAACGAGGGGATCGCCCCTGAGTTGCATGCTCCTCCGGATTTATCCGAAAGTAGTACAAGGAGCTTTGCATGATCTTTCTAATGTATACATATATCTATATACATACCCAGACAGATATATATATACATATATATATATACATGTATAGAGAGATGTACAAATGTTGTTGTTCCGCGCTTGCGGAAGTGCAACCCCTTCCCGGAAGCAACCTTCCACAAATTGTAGGAGCAACCTGCGCCCGGAAGGCGGCGGAAGCACGTATATAGAGAAATGCTTTGCGAAAGTGGCCGATACGTCCATTGTCTTTGAAAGGGAATAATGGAGGAAGAACATAAGCATTGGCCTTGCACAATATATTTTTCGAGGGAATGAATTGAACCTCTTGGTTTGGGTAGTGTTGACGGCGTTACTTTTGGCCTAGACTCACCAAGTCGAACCTATCTAATGCTTCTGCGGTACTCCCATCAAACAGGGGTCACCTTGAGGTCATTGCTACCACAAGGGGGCAGGTGCTATGGACCATATGTTTTCCTTTTTGTCCCAAACGGACCCAAAGGCAACGCTCACTGGATTTCCACTTAAGAAGTTATTTACCGGTGGGGTTTCCACTAAAACTGCCACTTTTTGAGGTTCCGAAAAAGGACATGAAGGAACCCCTACAAGGGCCAGGGGGGGCAATTTTCTCGCATGTCTTGGACTTCTTGGATCGAGACACAAAAAATCCCCTGGCGCAGGTGAGTGTCTGCGAGGCAACGCCCAACTGCACCTTCCGGCCGCTCTTCGGCTCAGGCGGCCGCTGGCTGAATCGTTGTCAACCGCTGCGGTTTTTGTACTTCCCTTAGGTTTGTTTTAATATTCTGGAAAGACTCGAGGCGGGTGGCTCCCCACACAGCCGACTGAATGTGTTTGGTTTCACTTAGTTGGTTTGGGATTTGAAGCTTAGAGAGTAAATGGGAAGCCACCAGACCACCAATCTCCAATTGGAGGGAAGCCAAAATATAGTGACCTACGGGGGTTGGTAGTCCGAAGTGGCAGTCCCCCCACATCTTGCACCATGCGGGGCCCATTGCAAACCGAAGTTGAGGTAGCTGGGCAACGAGCGGAGACCGGGGCTTGTTTTTTGTCCCTTGGAAATCAACAGATATCTTTAGCGAGTTTCGTGCTTTGAGCTCAAAAGTGACAAACCGGCAAACCTTGAAGTCACCTTGCCCAACCAAGCCGGAAGTTCGGCCAGCCTCGTCGATGGCTGATGCATTCATTCGAATGGACTTAGCAATTAGGTTGAGTCAAGAATCGGTTCGGAGGCATAGGTGTCCTTTTTGGTTGTTTTGCTGGACAAATAGAAACAACCCCTGGTTTACCTGGTGGTTTGATCATCTACCGGGGCCATCTATTTCCCCGAAAGGGACGCCTATGTTCGGGATCTTCAGATCGCAGGCAGATGCATGGACACCCCGAAGTACGGCTCCGTGTGGCTTCCTCAGCCCGTCTACACCTCGAGCACCACGACCATGGCCAGCACTACGGCCAGCACTGCCACACAGACGAACACCAGCACTGCGACCGCCACGACCGCGACCAGCACCACCACCTGGACCACGTACCTTGGCTTTGAATTTTTTAGAGTTTAGAGGGCTCTATGACTTGTCCTGTTACATTGGTTTACTCTTAGCAAGGGATCAACAAGCCACTAAGGTACACAACTTCCAGCAGCGTTACCATCAGCACCTTGACCAGCACCACAAGCTCCTCGACAAGCGTCACCACTAGCCTCACCAGCAAAACGACGACCAGCTCAACCATAACGACCTCCACTACTACCACGATCACGGGCTCAACCACTACAACCAGCACAGAAACCACCACCAGCACCTACACAAGCAGTACGAGTGTCACACTGAGCATGACCACGACAAGCACTAGAACTGCTACCACCAGCATCACGACGACAACGACTGCCACCACCACCACAAGCAGCACCCAAACCACCAGCAGCACCTACACCACCAGTACCAGCGTCACGCTAAGCCGCACCACTACTAGCACAAGAACCGTTACCACGAGCACTTCTGTGACGACCACAGGCACGACAAGCACTACAAGCACCGGCACTAGCACCACCAGCGGCACGAACACCAGCACAACCACCGTGACGTCCACGACAACTACGACCACTTTTACCATCACCACCACTGCGACCACTGCAACTTCAACAAGCTCCACATTCTCGACAACCTCGTCCACCACCATAACACAAACCAGCAGCTCTTTAACCTCCACAAGCAGTTCGACCACCAACACAACGTCAACGACTCAGACGGCCACGAGCACCTCCACAACAACCTGGACTTCAAGCATAACCACGTCTTCTTCAAGCTCTACTTCTACGTCGTCAACCACCTCCTCGAGCATCACAACTACCAGCGCTACGGAGACCTCAACGACCACCTCAAGCCAGACAATAACAACGAGCATCACCAGCACATCAGTGACCACTACCACTCAAACAACTAGCACGGTGTCTTCAACTTCCCGCACTTCTACAAGCACCAGTTCTGCCACCTCCACCTCAACTTTATCGACGACATCGACAAGCACTACAACCACCACAACTTCATCCACCACAACTTCATCCACCACTTCATCGTCAACTACCACAAGTGTCAGCTGCTCTCCTGCGGTTTCGGAGGCCCACGTACAAAAACTATATATATATATAGATCTTGGACATCGGAGAAAAAACAACAACACACCTAGGACCTACCCAACAGCTTTGTGCTCTGTGTCTCTCAGCTCGATGTTTTGCACTACCGACCTCGGATGGCAAAGGCTTCCTCTTCCATCCAAATTGGAAGGTGAGTTGACAATACCCCACTGGCACTGAGCACGTCTTGGCACTTGCCAGTGTCTCAGACATGCCGCGGGTTGTGTCAAAACAAGTTGGACTCCTCTAAATGGGTTTGCGTTGTTTAAAGGTACCCATTTTGAGGTTGGTTTAAAGAGAGACCAACGCCTAATAGGAAAGCCTCCATGTGTTTTGGCACATACCTGGTTGGACGGCAGACTACACGAGGTTCGCTTTAGCTAGGGGGGTTGTGCGTTGTCCTAAAACCTCACAAAGCTACGGAAAACGAGAAGGCCTCCAAAACGGGTACCTTAGTACTTGGCGCCGTATAATAACGCCGGAGCTGCACAATAACCCTCACAAATACAGCTTAGTCATGGTGGGACCCCAACGTGGCCATTGCAAAATGACAAGGCAGGAGGAACAAACAATAAACGTATCTGGTTTTGGATGAGTACCGTTGCATCTAATAAGGACACGCTTCTGGCTGCAGTAAAGGTCAGGGCCTGGAATCGACAACCAAGTACATAACCAAACGATACCCAGCTTCAACAGACAGTCGGCCACGTGCACACATGCTTAGGCACCCTACTTTTTAGCCAAGAGTAATTGCAAGCGCGGCGCCGCGCAAAATTGAAGCGCTGCTTCCAAGTTGGCCAGCAGGCGTTCCATCTTGTGTAGCGCACTTGCACTGACAAGTTACGACTTTTGGGACCGGAGTTTCTGAAGTGTACTTCGCATACTACGTTGGAACAGACGAGTTGCGACTTTCGAAGCTTTCCTGTCGGAGCTGACAAAGTAGTTTGCATACTACACTACTGATCATTTGCGAGTTCCAAGCCGGAGCTGCCAATGCGCACTTCGTGTTTTTGTTTTTTGCTCAGTTATGAAGTTCGAGCCGAAGCTGGCAAAGTGCGCTGTGCCACCCTTGTGCTGAGCTCAGCTGCAACTGCTTGGCCGCAGCCAAGAAGCTGAGCTTCCTGGAGCTGGCGGAGCCAAAGCGCGAGACTCGAAACTCCAGCGCTCAAGAGAAAGACTGGGGCCCGGTGGTCCCGGTCGGCGTGTTTGGTTTGCTCCTCCGTTGCTTCCAGATTTTGGGCGATCCAGAATCCGGCTGGCTGTTCAGCTTGGCTTCGAAGTTTCCCCTCGCAACCGTGGCAAAGCAGGCTTGTCCAGGCGCGAGAGGCCGGAGATTCGGAGTTCTGTGTCCTCAGAAGTGCGCCCGTTTGTTCCCACAGGCGCTGAGGATCTGCCGCTTGTGCGTTCTTTCCTTGCCAGGGGTCCTGCACAGAAGGGGTGTACTGGGCGAAATGAATGGCCCAAAAGGAGGGCTTCAAAGAGGGAAGGTTGAGATGAGCTTCAAAATTGGAATCTCCTCCGATGCAAACAGTCACCCCTGCCACCAAGACATGCTTGTTGTTGGTCAATATGAAATGCAACAGGATGTAGCAAGTGTCATGTGTTCTTTTTGTCCGTGACTTGATTTGAAGGAAGCGTGTATGCCTGCAGCAGCAACAAGTCTTGCTGATGTATGTATTGCACAGGGCCGTTAGTGACGTGCATCACTTCACATCCTGTTGCATTAAAGGAACCTGCTAAATGATGGCGACCAAAGGACATTGCTGGTTCCTGCCCTCGTTGTGATGACAGTTGTCAATCAGATCCCTAGCCCCCTAAAAATCGACCCTCCCTCTTCTTCAATGGCACCCGAAATGTAAGTCTCTGCTTGTTTGGGTTTCCCACTCACATTTGTCAACCTAAAAAATGGACATGGCCCCGTTTTGCCACCATTCGCTTCCCTGGTTGCATCAGGTCTGGGGGGTATTTGCCTGTCTTAGGCTCGACGAGTTTGACGGAGACCAGCACCTCAATCACCACCTCCTCGACCACCAAGACCACCACCTCCCAGACCACCACCTCCAGCACCGCACCTCGACTCGTTGCCGCAAAAAACCAACAACAAAAATCATGTCGTGACTGCCAGGCGAAGCGGTGGCTGAACTGGCATGTTGCGCATGGGTACCCTCGAACCATTAAACCACGCCCAAGCTGAGGTTGAAAAACCGAGGCTCTATCATCGCTTGCCCAACACGTGCCAACACGTGCCACACGGCAACAACGCTTGCGAATGACGCCCCCCGACATTGAGAGGGACACACCTAAAGGATGTGTTTTCCAATTTGTCATGGGGTTGGTCATTTGCAAGATGCATCTACGCAAAGGACTTGTGTTCGCAGAACCAACTGGATGTGTGTGTGTGTGTTTTTAGGGGGGCCCCCGGGTGGATTTCAAATGAGTCGAACAAACTGAGAGATATACGGGGTATTCTGAGTTTTTCCTTACTGGTGGCATTGCGTTGTGGCGGAGATGCAGCAGCCCCGCCCAGTTGCAGGGACACACCCAGGTCGCTGTTTGTATTTTGCAGCTCTAGCAAGTGTTTTATGTCCTTTGGGCAAGGTCTTTTTTATGTCTTGCTTGGATGATGATAAAACATCTCGGGATTGTGACAGTTGTTTGGAACCCGCGTGGTGCTTTCTGGAAGCGGCACTTTGCGTTGCATGCTAAGCAAAAACAACCAAAGGAGGGAGCCTCTTTCCCCTTCGCCACTCGGCAACTGCATGAAACTGGCAGTTGGAGTCAGGCAACTACGAGCTCAACCACCAGCAGCACTGCCACCGCCACCAGTACGTCTGCCACCTCGACAACCAGTGCAACTTGGCAGGTGGCCGTTTTTGCAGTACGGCCAATTTTCCGCTACCTCCAGAATGTCCCTACATCGACCATACGGGCGGCTGGAGGCTTTGGTATGCCGTTTGGCTCTCGGTTTGGCTGAGCTCCCAAGAGGTCGACATGTCCAGTTGGGCAAGTGAGGAAAGCACTGGAGGAAAGGGAAAGCGCGGAGAACAACCGCAGAACACGCATCACGAGCTTTGGCAGATGCCGCCCCGGCCTTTCTCACTTTCCGGCATAGTGGTTTGTAAGCTCAAGTTGCACGGTGCAGTGATTGAGTCATGCTTTGCCAATTTTAAGACACATTCACATGCTTGCCATGTCATGGGCGATCCCTCTCAAGCAGGTTGCGAGGCTGGAGCCCAAGATGTGTCATGCGATTTCCGCATTCCAAGCAAACACTTGAGTGCTTTGTGCAAAGAGGGCAGGTGATGACAATGGTGTCAATAGCCAACAGCTTGGTGTCCAGGTGCCTGCGGCTGATTGTTTGCTTCGCGTTCACGAAGGTAACCCGGGTGAAGGCTTTAAGAAGCAGTGCCGGTCAAAAGTACGATCTGTGTTGGGGACTGTGCGGCGTGCCCCCTGGTGGACACCCATAAAGCCAGTGTTTACAAAGACAGGAGCGCTCATCAAGTGACCATAGACCTTGCAGAGGTCTATGTAAGCTGCGGTCTAGAACGGGATACGCCTTAACCAAGCTAGCTAGTAAGACCTAGCAAGGAGACTGACCCCGGAGGTCAGGCTTGCTGCATGTGAAACTCCAGTGCAGGTTCGTGGGATCAGCTTGGCTGGTGAATTAGTCTGACACTCAAATACTAGACTGCTGTATACAAACGTTGCCCAGGCGGATCATACTGTGAGCAGTTTTAGGTATGGGCCATTAGAATGGGCCCAGCCATTTTTCAGTTGAAAGGCATGCATACCGCCTGTTTAGAACTCCAATGTCCCATACGTGTTGCTTAGAATCCAGAAGGATCCTCCAATTACAAGGGCTACAGCTGTTCTTCAGAATCGATTCCGCCTTGCCTCGCTGTTGCCTCGTAACTTCTGCACACGAAGAACCCATGTATAGCTGGACTCTACAACAGAAAGGGCCTTCCAGTTTGGAGGGGGAAGGTGGGGTGGTGTTTCATTCATGTTTTGCACTTAGGACAAGTGATTCAAACATGTTCGATCGGTTGGCCACCCTCTTTCACACAAGCCACCTTAGGAGCAGGTTCTGTAGCAACGTGGGAAAGGTCTTCCCCCGCCCGGTGGCAACAATTTCCCCCCGCCGTTGAGCGGTTGCGGGCGGAACAGCTCAGGTCACTTCCACGATGACCACCTCCACCAGCTCTAGCAAGACCAGCACCGCCACCACCACCACCAGCTCGAGCGCCACAACTAGCTCCACCACCTCCAGCGCGGAAGCTCAGTTGGGCTTTCTGGAGGACCCTGCAAGCACCCCCCTACACTTGTGGCACGTGTTGCATGGAACCCAAAGAGAGGCATTTGGGACCCCAAAGTTTCCTCTAATGATGGCTTCGGGGCCGTTCCTTTTAACCACCAGGAAAACGTAGATGGCACAGTTTAGCCCTCCGTAGGGAAAGAGGGTGACCAAAACAGAATGGGGGGGAATTGTGCCTACTTTCACACAACCGATGGAACCAAGAAGCGACCCTCAAGCTGTGCATGTTCCTTTTCTGGGTGTAAGAGAAATCATGTACATGGGGGGCTTCAATCGGGAAAGTAATACATGGTTTCTTCCCGCTTGTGTTCGCGTGTCATTTGGCTCATGTTTTGGCTTGAACTCGGTTGGGTTTGGTTGGCAGAAACGTGGAAGCCCTCATGCAAACGGAATGGGTCACCCTGCTTTCGTCAGCCAGGTCACCCGGATGACTCAGCATCTCCGACGAGTGAGGACCCTCCAAAAGTGAAGGCCTCTGAAATGGGACGCCCCCCATGAATCAACGAGAGGCTTCCTGCGTTCATGGACTTGGTGCTGTTCGGGGCAACGATTTTGGCCAACGAACAGTGACGTGTAAAAGTGCCAGCCCCCTGAAGCAAGAGACGTGTGGGTCAAGAATTGGTACACATGAAGCCTGAACGGAGACATGGAAGAAAAACACCTGCGGCCCCCATTTGTGGTTTAATTCAACCATGTGTTGGATCATTATTTTAATTCATCCATTTAATTTGGATCATTCAACCCCCCACGAAAAAAAATCTGAGGCACCAGCACTGCGAGCTCCACGAGCAGCACTTCCATGACCACCACCAGCAGCACCGCCACGACGGCCACAACCACCTCCACGCGCAGCAGCACCACCACGACCTCCACCAGGCAAGTGCCGTCCGCTACGGCGCGCGGCGCGTTTTTGCCGGGGGCCAGAGAGCAGCGGCGCTCTGAGCCTTCTTAGGGGGGAAGGACGGGGGGTGGGCCGTCCTGCTTTTTTTTTGGGGGGAAGGGGTGGGATGTGTGTGTGTGTGTGTGTTCTTTTCGGGGGGGGGGGGGGGCTCTCTTGAAAAGTAACGGGGTGCTCCCGGGGTTGCCTTAGCCTAATGTGCCCGGAGCGCTTTGTAAGGTTGGTTGCCAGGGAAACCGAAACGAGAACCCGAAATCCATTTGGTGTGATACATGGCATGGCGGTCTTCCATTCGCTGGTGGCTACCACCGAGCCATACCAAGCCATTTTTGGTCACGTTCCTCTTGTGGCCGGGTCTTGGTCACGTTCCTCTTGTGGCCGGGTCGTTCAATCCAAAGTCTTGCCCAACCTCGAAGGTCCCTTTGCCCCTTTGTGGCCCACTTTCTGTGATACCAATGGAACCCCTTTTTACCGCACCCAAGTCTTCACAGGGATGGCCTGCTTTGGCCCAGCAATGGCCAATTCTCCATGCCCTGCCCAAAAGAAACAACTCTCGGTCTTGGCCCATGTTGGTTGCCAGGTGTTTGGAAGCCGATGGGTTTGTGGGTCCCCCAAGCGGCCGCGTGACAAGTGGGCACCTTCACGCCTTGACAGTTCGAGTACCAGTTCAACGACCACCGTCACCAGCACCAGCTCCAGCCGCTCAGAGGCAAAGGCGCTGGGCCCCCTTCGAGCCTTGGCGGCTCCCAGCCGTCCGGTTCCTTAGCTTTTTAGGTTTTTAGGGCTTAGTGGTAGTTTCCAATTCACCCACGAAAGGTAAGACTCTCAGCAGGGGATCTAAGGGCTGCGCAGTTGCCGCGCTTCTGAGTTTACCCAAAAGGAAGCTGACACTTTGCTTGGCGGGGGGTTTCCCCTTTCAGGCCAAAAGATGATCAAAGCCCAAGGTATGTGGAATTTGGCTTCCCAATCCCCACTAAAATAGACTAAATTGGGTGGTGCACCTACCCTAAATTGGTACCATTGGTTTTGACCACAGCCATGTAGGCATTTGGAATGTGGTCTCCTTTTGGTTTCCCTCCGCCCATCTTTTGGAACAACCCTGAACAATTGGTCTTGGCCAAATTGCGGTGTCTGCCGGCTGATGTCTGGATGTCTTGCCTACGCGGTGTGTGTTGGACAAATTGCCCTGTGAAAAAGTTGTTTCTTGGGATCCACGCTCTCAGCTGCTTTGGTGAAGGGCGTGTTCGTAGGGGACATGGTGCGCAAGCATGTTACTAGTACATGTGACCAGGTGGCGTTGTTTCCCTTAACTTTGGTTTCTAGGGAACGGCTATGGTGGAGCTAGGGTTGGTGGTGTCGCGAATGCGGGTTGTTGGGTGTTTAACTGTATGTTTAGTTTATTTTCGTTGGTGTCCCTACTGTAATCATCCAAGCATCATAGGCACATGTTTGCGTCTGTGTTTGCACGTGTGTGTGTGTGTGTGTGGGGTGGGTGGGTGGGTGGGTGGGTGGGTGAGTGTGTTTGTGTGTGGGTGTGTGGGTGTGTGGGTGTGTGGGTGTGGGGTGTGTGGGTGTGTGTGTGTGTGTGTTGTGTGTTGTGTTTGTGTGTTGTTGTGTGTGTTGTGTGTTGTGTGTTGTGTGTTGTGTGTTGTGTGTTGTGTGTGTGTGTGTGTGTGTGTGTGTGTGTGTGTGTGGTGTGTGTGTGTGTGTGTGTGGGTGTGTGGTGTGTGGTGTGTGGTGTGTGGGTGTGTGGGTGTGTGGTGGGGTGTGTGGTGTGTGTGTGTGTGTGGTGTGTGGTGTTGGGGTGTGGGTGTGGGTGTGGTGGGTGGGTGGGTGTGTGTGTGTGTGTGTGTGTGTGTGTCTGGGTGTGTTGTGTGTGTGTGTGTGGGTGTGTCTGTGTGTGTGTGTTTGTGTGTTTGTGTGTTGTGTGTGTGTTTGTGTGTATAGACAGACACACACACACACACACATATATAATATATATATATATATGTACCAGTACCCCCCCCCCCCCCCCGCCCAATGGTATGGTCCCCCCACTTCTCCGCATCATCCGCATCTTGGGGATGATGCTGGCAATGCTGGGGATGCTGTCCGAATCAACCCAAACCCCAAACCCACCCGAAACCCACCGCAAACCAACCCTGAGCCAACCCTGAACCAACCCTAAACCAACCCACCAAGCCTCAACCAACTCCGAACCACACCCCAACCACCCAACCACCCAACCACCCCCCCCCCCCCCCCCCCCCCCCCCCCCCCCCCCCCCCCCCCCCCCCCCCCCCCCCCCCCCCCCCCCCCCCCCCCCCCCCCCCCCCCCCCCCCCCCCCCCCCCCCCCCCCCCCCCCCCCCCCCCCCCCCCCCCCCCCCCCCCCCCACCACCCCCCCCCCCCCCCCCCCCCCCCCCCCCCCCCCCCCCCCCCCCCCCCCCCCCCCCCCCCCCCCCCGGGGGGTGGCCTGTTGATGGTTGCCTGTTCTGGTTTTTATGTTCATCTCAAATCTGTGTTCCCCCTTATTCGTTTTTAAAAGAGGGTTTTTGGGGAGCTTATTTATCGTTTTCGTTAAGGTAATCATTTGGGTAAATTGTCGCCTTGTTCATTGTTGGGCTGGGGGCAGACATTTTTTTCATTTGAAAGAGGTAGCCCTTTTAGTAGTTATCAAGTTCTGGGGTGTTGGTGGTGTGTTTGCTTTTGGGTCGCTCGTCCCTTTAATTCGGTCGTTTGCCACCACGCCACGTCTTCATCCTCTACTTCATTGTTTCAGCCAGACACTCAGTGTGTCGTTTGCTCTGAACA